ATTTTATGTATTGTATTTTATTTTTATTTAAATAGAAAGTCAGTCTGTAAAAAATCATCTTATAGTTTTACAATTTTTTTTATAAATCTAACAGAACAAATAAACAAAAGAGTAAATAAAAAGTGTTTGTGTAGCATATAAAACTCTAATTCAATGTTTTTCCATTATATCTTGTATTTTTTCTATTTTATTTTGTTATTTAATGTTTATTTGTCAACAAGTGAACTTCCCCAGTGTGGGATAAACACAACAATATCACATTATAACCTGATCCATTTGAACAGTGAGTAAAGAAACACAACAGCAGTAATATCTTTGTCCTCCAGGAGCAATACAATGTAATACTGCTCATTATTCTATATTATATATATATTAGAATGGTTATGATAGTGTTATCATATTCATATTAATTATTACTGTTATTTTAACAATATTGTTGTTGCATCATATATTTTATCAATACAACATTACAGATTTGTTTATCTCATATATCCTCTCTATTTCACCAATAAAAAAACAAGAGTGTTATTCTTTTTCTTTATTTTCTACACTAAAGTGTATTTTAATAGTTATTATTCTTTTTGTGTGTAATGAAATAATGAAAAATACAAAACTGTAATGAGGATCAGACATACTTTATTGATCTCTGGGGGGAAATTAGTTGCATTACAGTTGCTAAACAAAGACATTATTTTTATTTCATTATTTTGTCAATTAGTTTTTTCTCTTGTACAGTGTTTATATTATTTTTTCATACTTTTACTGTCTTTATACTGTTTTTTTCTCTATCCACTTTGCGTCCCACTGTGGGACTATTAAAGGAATATCTTATCTTATAATAGATAATAAGAAGAATCACAATATATAACACTATATAAATAACTCTTCTGAGGAGAAAACAACCTTATTGTAGCTGATATTTAATATTAATCTGCTCCACCATCGACTGAAACTCAGACGGAGTGAGAGCTCTTTCACTTTAACTGCTCTTTGGTCACAGCGTGGACTCCCAAGCCCCGCCCACCTCCGCACGATTAGACCAATCGATGGCCGTTTCAGGGAACGCCCCCTCCCGGTGTGCACTGATTGGCTGCAGCACGAGGGGCGTTGTCCAATCAGAGCAGCTCATCAAGGTCAGCTCAGGCGACCAACTGATGCTTCACGAGGCGGTTAGAAAATAAGAGCACGGTTTACAAAATAAAAGTCCTGTAGCTTCACACACGGACAAACACATTTAATCCTCACAGGCAGAAATAAGAAATGTCAAACAGTGAAGCATTACATTAGATACCCTTTATTTTATATAAAAAATACAGCATTTAAAATATTAAATCTGTCTATTGTCGATCAATAAATAAAATCCACCTACTTCCAATAAAGACAGTAGAGCAAAAATAAAGCATTTATTATCCTTATTATCGGTTAAACAACTCCAACATCAGTTGATTTCAGTCAGACTCTCCTGTGAAGTTGAAGCTGGCTGTTGGCGCCCGCCGCCTCCTACGGCGAGGCCCGTTTGTGACGCTGCGTTACGCTGCCGCACTGTGGAAGGCAGTAAGTTGTATAGTTGTATCTCCAGAACGGGGGTTTGCAATATCCCACCCCCCCACAACAACACAACTTACTACCTCAGCACAGCACGGCTACAGACACATCTGCCCCGGGAACAACGCCACACGACTAATGCAGACCCCTCGTACGGCGAGGCTCGACCCTGAATCTGTTCGATACAACTGCACATCAAACTATTGAAATCATGATGATGTGACATTTAATGTGCTTCAATATAAAGTCTCACACTTTACCTTTTATATTTGGTTCTGATTTCGATTCACTGTGAATGAAAACAGTTTGAGTTAGAGATCTGTGTGAGGGGCTAAAATACCGTAAAACATTTACACCATATTTTGGTCACGACTGGAAAACTAGTCTCTAAATTTGCAGGTTTTCCAGAACAAACGGGAACTAAACCTGCATTAATGTGTGAGCTCGATCAATACTGAAATATATTGATCGTCAGGTCTCCGCTGGCTGTAACTTCCTCCTGTTTGTTGTTGTTGATCGTAACTTTGGACTTACACACAGCTGCAGAACGCGACCGACGCTCGGGATGCAAACCGCCGGTCGCCAACGGCAACGGAGCAGCTTCAGTCGCCGTGGCAACTGAAGGTCACTGCAGGTGATGGTTTGGGTGCCGTGAGAAAGACAGTAGGCTGTATAGTTATCTCCCAGATCTGCTGTGATCCTAAAACTATACAAACTACTACCTCATCCCACAGCTCCCCTCCTCTCCTCCTCCTCCTCTTCTTCTTCTCCTCCTCCTCCTCCTCCTCTTCTTCTCTTCTCCTCCTCCTCTCTCCTCCTCTCCTCCTCTTCTCCTCCTCT